GAAGGTCGGTTTTCACGATAGCGCGCTTGATTCATGACCTGACTGCTGATTCCTTACACATTACAGGATGTGTGTGTGTGTGTGTGTTTGTCGGGCTCAGCCGCCACAGGTGTGCGCACAAATCCCGCGACCGACTCGCTGGACTTGGTTTCGAATAACGCGCGACGACGGGGGTGTTGCTGAGGCACCACGCCCCACTGGGAGATCCGGCCGTATGGTGCAGCGACCGAGCGCCCGGATGCCAAGAATGATCAGATTCAAGCGGACGCCAAATGGGCGTTTGTAATTTGAAGGGTAACCTCTTTGTGGCTTGTGTAAAAGGGAAGCCAAGATCAAGCAACCCAATTTGTGTGCGTCCACTATCTTGAGACATGCCCCACAGCTTCTAGAAGCCTCTATCCGGTTTCTCTCAATTGATGTTTTAGATTCGTAGGATCTCTTGGGTTTTGGAGGCGGTTTCTAATGACTACTTGGCTGCTTACAGTTGCTTACGAACGGGGTTGTATCCTCCTGGCTCAGTTTTACCAGGTTTACAAATCAATTTCCTATGAATGAGCCAAACATAGGCGGCCAAGTAAAGATGTTCATTGAATCAATTGATTACTTCCACTTGCTTCAGAATACGATTTTCCCTTTCTAGTGTGGAAGGGAATCCATCACTACTGGACATATGCTTATTTTATCCAGATTGCGAAAGAGGGCCCCTAGCCAAACGCAACTCATGAGGGGGGGGGGAGGGAGCCCAAATAAGCTCTGATTAGGCCCTTAAGCGGCTTATTTCCGCCCCAGCCCCCATACCACAGGTGTGTTGGTCCGCCTCGCCCCGGATGGCACTGGCACCGCTCGAAGCTCCTCTGCTTATGTCACCTTTGCGCGGGGACCCAGCGCCGCAGATTCGAGCTGGCCCTTCCCTGTTCAATATCATGCCAAAGAACAAGGTATTGGTGGTTGTGTGTAGTTGTTTGTGTCTTTCATTATTTGTTGTGGTATGTTTTTCTTTCTGAATTTGTGTATTTCTGTTATGTGTTTATTTGTTTACTGTGTTGTTTGTGTGTTTGTTTTTGTTAGTTAATTGTTGTGTTTCGTGTTGTTGTTTATGAACAAGGCTGTATCCAAGTCTTTATTCAGGTGGTTCGTCCGTGCTTTATGTATTGTGGTATCGTTGTCTTAGTGTTTGTGTTATCTTATATATGTCCTATGTGATGCTATGTATGTGTATATATATATGTGTTTATATATATATATATACCCAGACGCTCCCAACTCATGTTTCGGGCCCTCGGGCCCTCGCGGGCCCTCGCGGGCCCTCGGGCTGGTTTGGGGGGGGGGGGCTAAGGCTCGTGGCAACATAGCGCAGATTAGAGAAAGCAAATAGATAGTGATAAAAATAACAAATAATAGAAGATCAAACAAATAGATAAGACAACAAATAGAAAATAAGATAACAACACACAGTTAAAACAGCAGAATTGATGTAAATAACTTGCAAAGAGCTTGCCCTTCAGCAGAAGAAACGTTGCAGCCGGGTGAATCAACAAATGCAACTTTCGAGCTGGAATTGTGGAAGTGTCAAGCACTGTTCTCTCGCTACAGAGTTACAAGAGCCCCCGTTACATACCTCCGTACCAAGGTTCGCGCCGCGTCGGGCTTTGCATGCCCCTTAAAAACCATAGCCATGTATAGTCATAACCCGAACAATGGCATCATCCTGGCGCAATACAATGTGGACCTGGTACAATAAAATGCGCGTCTGAGAACCCACAAGCATAATAAAATAACGGGGAAGGCCTGGCTTTGCAAAGAAGAGGTTTGGAGGGGCCGCGTTTTCCATTTAGTTTGGGCTGATGGTTCTAGTTTCATTTAATCCGCTTTTCCATCTAGTTTGGGTTGGTGGGCCGGTTTTTCATTCGTTTGGGTTGCTTGGTTTGGAGGGGCAATTGTTTCATTTAGTTTGGGTTTGTAGTTTGGAGGGGGCCGCTGTTTTTTTTTGGTTTGGGTTGCTGGTTTGGAGGGGCCGCTTGTTTCATTTAGTTTTTGGGTTGTTTGTGTGGAGGGGCCGCTTGTTCTATTTACTTTTGCTTGGTGGTTCTAGTTTCACTTAATTTTCGTTGGTGGTTTGGTCGGAGGGGTCCGCTTTTCCATTTGCTGGTTTGGAGAGGCCGTTTTTGTCATTATGTTTGGGTTGGTAGTTTGGAGGGGGCGGTTTTTTTTCCATTTAGTTTGGGTTGCTGGTTTGGAGTTTGGAGGGGCCGTTTGTTTCATTTAGTTTGGGTTGGTAGTTTGGAGGGGCCGCTTTTTTAATTTAGTTTGGGTTGCTGGTTTGGAGGGGCCGCTTGTTTCATTTAGTTTCGTTTGGTTGCGTGGAGGGGCTGTTTTTTCTATTTGGTTTGGGTTGGTAGTTTGGAGGGGGCCGTTTTTCCATTAGTTTGGGTTGCTGGCTTGGTTGGGTTGGTTGTGTGGAGGGGCCATTTTTTCCAATTAGTTTGGGTTGATGGTTCTAGTTTCATTTAATTTGTGTTGGTGGTTTGGAGGGGGCCGCTTTTCCATTTACTGTAGTTTGGGTTGGTGGTTTGGAGGGGCCGGTTTTCTATTTGGTTGCTGGTTTGGAGGGGCCGCTTGTTTCATTGAGTTTGGGTTGGTTGTTTGGAGGGGCCGCTTGTTTCATTTAGTTTGGGTTGGTGGAAGTTACGCAAGTTGGGTCGCTCAATTCATGCTTCTTTACTTGCGAATTTTGGAAGAAACCAACTAGGTCAACATCCAGGGCCCCTCGAATCTGAGTTCCTGGGCTGGGGGGATTGAAAGACCAACAAAAAGGTCAAACACCCGGGTTGTGAAATCCTAGTTCCTGATTAAAACGCTGAAAATCCCGGGTCCCCTAAAGTGATGTGATGTGTCTTTACTTGGGGAGTTCAAAAAGTTCAAAATCCCGGGTCCCGAAAGTGATGTTCCGCCGGGTGTTTCTTTACTTGGGGAGTTCAAAATCCCGGGTCCCGAAAGTGATGTTTCTTTACTTGGGGAGTTCAAAAAGTTCAAACCCCAAAGTGATGTTTCTTTACTTGGGGAATTCAAACAGTTCAAAATCCTGGGTCCCCAACGTGATGTTTCTGTACTTGGAGAGTTCAAACAGTTCAAAAATTCAAAATCCCGGGTCCCAAAAGTGATGTTTCTTTATTACACGGGGAGTTCAAACAGTTCAAATGCCGTTTTTTGGCGCAGTTGGAGGGCCTGTCACTGGCCTGCTTGGTTGGGCTCCTGCTTTGCGTGAAGTGGGGTTTCCTAGGGAGGGCCCGGGGCCCTCCCTCCTAAAAGGACCCGCCTGTTTGTCGGATACGGGGCCTTGTGGGCCCCTAGTGCAATCCGGACGGGATCAATGGATCGCTGATCGACCAAAATGTCCTCGAATCACACCTCCCCTATCCGACGGTTATCCGACGGCTATCCGACGGTTATCCGACGGTTATCCGACGGTTATCCGACGGTTATCCGACGGTTATCCGACGGTTATCCGACGGTTATCCGACGGTATCCGACGGTATCCGACGCCGGGCCCTCGTAGACCCTCAGTTTTGGGGGCCCCGGCCCAATTATCCGACGGCTATCCGACGGCTATCCGACGGCCATCCGACGGTTATCCGACGGTTCTCCGATGGTAATCCGAAGATTGTTTGCAGCCCAAAGGCCCCCAACAAAAAACCAGCCCGAAACCTCCTACGACCGCGAGGGCCCGCGAGGGCCCAAGGGCCCGAAACATGAGTTGGGAGCGTCTGGGAGTAGAGTTTCTATTTTGTTTGTTGTGTGTGGCTGCCATGTTTTTTGTGCAGTTGGATTTGTTCTAGGCCTGTCACTGGCCTGCTTGGTCGGGCGGCTGATTCTCTTGAAGTGGGATGTTTGTAGTAGGGCTGTGTGGATGTTGCTTTCTTGGCGCAGTTGCTTTTCTTCAGGGCCTGTCGCTGGCCTGCTTGGTCCGGCTGTGGCCTGCATGGCCCGCCTGATGACCCGCATGTCCTGCCCACCGCCCACCGCCCACCGCCCACCGCCCACCGCCCACCGCCCACCGCCCACCGCCCTGCGTGAGGCAACAGCTCTTCGCAAGCAAGATTGCCAACATCTGCAGAAAACAGGCAGGCAAAGACACCAACCAAATTAGAAACCAGACAAAAAACACTTTGCGAAAAGCAGCAGCCCAACCAAGCAGGCCAGCGACAGACCCTGAACAAAAAAACGGCAGCCGCGGACAACAAGCAATTAGCAACTCTTACTTAAAAAAACAAAAAAAAACCAACTTACGAAAAACAGCAGACCAGGCAGGCCAGTGACAGGCCCTGAACAAAACCCAACTGCGCAATAACAAAAAATGGCAGCCACACACAACAAACAAAGCAGCAGCTTTACTAAAAAAACAAGAACGCGAAAAGCAGCAGCCCGACCAAGCAGGCCAGCGACAGGCCCTGAAACAAAAACAACTGCACCAAAAAAGCGGCATCCGCACACAAAAAGCAAATTAGAAGCCCTACTACAAAAATCCCACTTCACGAAAATTAGCAGCCTGACCAAGCAGGCCAGTGACAGCATGCACAAAAAGCATGGCAGCCACGCACAACAAGCAAATTGGAATCTCGCCCAAGCAAGCAGGCCAGTGACAGGCCCTGAGCAAAAATCCAACTGCACAAAAAACATGGCAGCCACACACAACAAGCAAATTAGAAGCTTTACTAAACAAATCCCACTTCACAAAAAGCGACGAAAAGCAGCAGCCCGACCAAGCAAGCCAGTGACAGGCCCCTATAAAAACAACAACTACACAACAAAAGAACGCGGCAGCCACACGCAACAAGCAAACTAGAAGCCCTCGGGAAAAATCCCACTTCACAAAAAGCAGCAGGCCGACCAAGCAGGCCAGTGACAGGCCCTGAACAAAATCCAACTGCACCAAAAAAGTGGCATTCAAACACAACAAGCAAATTCGAAGCCCTACAACAAATCCCACTTCGCTAAAATCACCAGCCCGACCGAGCAGGCCAGTGACAGGCCCTGAAACAAATCCAACTTCACCAAAAAACGGCAGCCACAGACAGCAAGCAAAAAACAATAATCAAAAAAAACACGAAAAGCAGCAGGCCGACCAAGCAGGCCAGTGACAGGCCCTGAAGAAAAACCCAACTGAGAAACAAAGCAGCAGCCACAAAGAAACCCAATGGAAACAAAACACTTCACGAAAAGCAGCAGGCAGACCAAGCAAGCCAGTGACAGGCCTTGAAAAGAACCAACTGCACAACAACCAAACAAAAACGGCAGCCACACAGAACAAGCAAACTAGAAGCCCTTCGGAAAAATCTTGCTTCACGAAAAGCAGCAGCCGGACCAAGCAGGCCAGCGACAGGCCCTGAAGAAAACAACTGCGCAAAAAAAAAAAACAGCATCCACACAGCCCTACTACAAACATCCCACTTCAAGAGAATCAGCAGCCCGACCAAGCACGTCAGTGACAGGCCTAGAAAAAATCCAACTGCACAAGACGCATGGCAGCCACACACAGCAAACAAAATAGAAACTCTACTCCCAGACGCTCCCAACTCATGTTTCGGGCCCTTGGGCCCTCGCGGGCCCTCGCGGGCCCTCGCAGGCCCTCGGGCTGGTGTTTTTGGGGGGCCTTTGGGCTGCAAACCACCCTCGGATTACCATCGGATAGCCGTCGGAAAGCCGTCGGATAACCGTCGGATAATTGGGCCGGGGGCCCCAAAACTGAGTGTCTACGAGGGCCCGGCGGCGGACAACCGTCGGATAACCGTCGGATAGTAATGCTAGGGGAGGTGTGATTCGAGGCCATTTTGGTCGATCAGCGATCCATCCATCCCGTCCGGATTGCACTGGGGGCCCACGAGGGCCCCGTATCCGACAAACAGGCCGGTCCCTCCCTAGGAGGGCCCGGGACCCTCCCTAGGAGGGCCCACGAGCCTCTGGGTATATATTATACACATGTATATAGTGTTATAATCGTAAAACAAAACACGCAATAAACACACATATATATATATGTATATTGCTATCTATCGTTATGTATTTATGTAGTTAGGTATGTTTTTTTGTGTATGATTATATGTATTATGTTGTATAGTTAGTAATGTGTGCTTTATATATGGTATATGTGGATATTTATTTGTTTGTGTCGCTTGTTCTTTGTTTCCCTTTGTTCTTTAAACATGTCTTTACACATGTATGCTGATTATTAATATTTGGTCATGCAGTTTCTGCTATGTCGTTGCATTCATCTATTTCTGTCAGTATATTATCTTCATTTATATGCATTTACTTCTGTTTTCAACGTACTGATCCCGTGTTTATTAAGCTTTCGTCTTTGGTGTTTTATCTATGTTGTGTGTGTTTGTTTGTTTGTTCGTTCGTTCTTTTTGTTTGTTTGTTTGTTTGTTTGTTTGTTTGTTTGTTTGTTTGTTTGTTTGTTTGTTTGTTTGTTTGTTTGGTCTCTGTTCTTGCGCATTTATGTGCTTCTGGTTGCATTTTTTGTTATTTGGTTGTTCGTTTGTCTGTTTGTTCATTGTTTTGCTCTTGTGGATCACAGTGACGGATACCCCTGCGGCAGTACTAGTCGCCTTTGGGGCCGCAGCATGTTTCCTAAGGGAAAATGGTTGCCTGGAGTCTCAGCCTTTTAAACATAGACCTTTTCTTTTGCCGAAAAAGGCAAGCAAGGGCAAGCGCCATTCAAAAAGAGATTCGGAGCACGCTCGCTTTTTCAGGGCTCGCCTGGGATCCGCTGGGTTGAGTAGTGACCTCATTCTTGTTGGGTTTGGGGGAAGGTACCCTTGTTTGATCTTCTTTGGGTGCGAAAGGACACCTGCAAGGAACACCGCCATTGGGTCCACGCAATGTGAGACACCCCCAATTTTTGTTCTCAAGAGGTGTTGATGTGCTACAGCCTGTTCCTGAGCAAGGATTGCTACAGTATCCGGTGTCCCTCTTTCTTCTTTTTCTTATTCGCCATTGGAGTCTTAGGGTAGCCGATGCAAAGCTTGGGCAATGCTGCGACATGATACTTGCTGCCACTGCTAATGCCTTGAATATTTTAAGCTGTTGCTTGTTGGGAACATGTGTGTTTCCCGCAAACCAACACGTTAAATAGCCACCAAGCAAGTGCAACGTGTTCGTCTCGGTCGGCGCTTTGATTTCGTCGCAAAGCCTGAACACGTTTTTTATCCAAAGCGTGGGAATTCCGAGTTGCCTTTTGTCTGAAGGCCTGTCATGTTGCAAGAACAAGATGGCGCTTGTTGTTGTTCAAATATATGTTGTGGCACTACACCTTTTGAGGTTTGAAAGGAGCACGAAAGGAACGTCAGTTGTTTGAGTGCCAACTTCGAATCCCTAGGATGTGATCATATGGGGGTCGTCTTTGTTTGAGTCAGCACCTGTTTTTGATAGCTTTTAAAGGCAAACCAAATGAAGTACCGTCAGAATTACTTCCGTTTAGTTTAGTATTCGGTGTTTCATTGATATTGTGAACATGCACACGATGGCAAACTTGGATTTCCAGAGGGGGTCCCTAGAAGACACATCCACATGTGCCTTTGGATCGCAATGATTTGCAATGCGCTTGACAGGTGGCCTATCCTTTGCCGGAGATCGTGGAGCCCAACGAGGGCCCGGTGCAAGGCAGGGGAAACGGAGCCCGGGGTAGGGATGTGAAGCTGTGGCCAGAAGGGGGCGAATCTGTAACACGGCAACGGGGAGTCTACCCTGTTGCCCAGTGGCGCCCTGTTTTCCTTTTGTTTGGGAAGGGTTCCCCTTTAAACTCCACCCACCAAAAAAAGATGCCCTTTTTTCCCATGGCCACTAGGCATTTGAGTCTAACTGGGCTCCAACAAAGTCGGAAAGACTTGGCCAGCTACTTTCTCGCTTTCTGCTGCAAAAAGTGTGTGGAGTGGTCAAGTTCCCCACGGTTTTGATTTCAGAAACGGATAAGCCAAGACCGGAGCGCCATGAAGTCCCCGCCTCCGTTGACCGAAACGAGTCCACCGACCTGGCAAAAACCCCTGTGAAGAAGCGACCTCCTCAGATGTTCGGTCTGCTTTTGGTGTCCCAATAAAACCAACCCACAGCGAGTACCCAACGAAAGGCACGACGCACAAACCAAGAAGGACCGCGAAGGGACCCAATCTGGTTCTTGAGTTCCACAGGAGGCATCCCCTATTGGCGCGCTTGCGCCTCTTCGGCAAGCTTCAGTGCACCTTCACTGGGTCTGACTGCCGGGTTCCTGGACTTTAAGTAATCCGACCTTTGACCACAGGTGTCCTTTTTGGTTGGTTTGCTTAAAAAATCGAGGGCGATTCCTGGTTTACCTGGTGGTTTCATCTGCCAGGGCCATCTATTTGCCCCAAAAGGACACCTGTGCCTTTGACCCTCTGCATTTCCCGGTGAGCTAGCTCTCGGAGATTTTCTCGGTTCGATCAGGCGGAACGGTGGTGCGCATCTTTGGCCGCCACTTCCGGCCGGACGGTCAGGAGAGCCGGGGCCAGGCTGACAATAATTGGTAGAAAAACAGGTTAAACTGGTTGTTGTGCTTTTGTGTTGTGTATTTTTTGATGATATGGTATTTTCTTTGGTTTACCTTATTTTAGCAAAAGTTGCAGAGAGGAGCAACGGACAATAGTACTGGCAGACTGTTCATTTGGAGAGGACGTGGAGGCCCCAAAATCCCTATGAAGTAGCTGTAAGTCATATTGTCCATCGCTCATACGATTTCGGATTCTGAGTCACGTGTCTCAATGCAAAATCTGCAGTACATGATTTTGTCTCAAATTAGCGGAACCCTGTCAAATAAACAGACAGACCCCAACTGGGGAAACAATATTGTAGTTAAAAGCTAGCTGCATAATTTAAGATGCTTGACATGTCTTGCTGTTGCAAGTCAGGCGGTGGATGTTCAAGTTATCTTGTTTTATTATTGAGGTCATGGTTTGGACATTTGACGCGCACTCCTCAGAAAAGGACATAGGTCCGAAATGTGAGGCTGAGTCATTGACTGCATCCTGCTTTCATAAGATGTTCTGAAACTCCGTGTGTTGATAGCATTGTTTATTTCAGATTGCACTTCACACTTCAGATTCACTTAGATTTGAGTGGGGAAATGATGTCGAGAATTCAGCTTCCCTGGACACACCGCTTCCAAAGTTGCCTCCATGTCAGTGAGGAGATTCCTCGATTTTAGTACATGTGCAGCGCAGGGGTAAAAGGCGAACCCTACATGGAAATTGCATTTCTTGATTCTCAACTCGTCACTTTGAGATATCGGGCTGCTTGTTTTTTGAGGGTACCCCACAAGTGGGGTAGTTTGAAAGGATTTGGACACCAACAGGCAGCCCGTTTTGGGGTTTCGGCTGAAAGTTGGCACATTGCGCCAGCGAAAAAAAAATCGCACGCCCAACTTGCGCCAGGAGATCCTCATCCAATGCATTTTCGGCTCCAAGCAGAGCAAGGCTAAGCCTTTGTGGCTCAAAGCGCGTTTAAGCCGCCCCTGGATCGAAAGCCGATTGGCCGGTTTTTTCTTCCAACAAAATTCGGCTCGAAAGCCCAGAAAGTGGTTGGCTTTTTTGTTGGGGTTTTCAATTTGTTCAACACACAAATCCACATTCGGCAAGAGAAGCTTCCCTTTGGCTTCCCTGTTTAGCACACAAATCCACATTCAGCGAGAGAAACGGCCCGTTGGTTTCCAATTTTTTTGACACTGAAAATAACAACAAATCCATCAGCAAGAGCAAGGCCCAAGGAACGTTTGGGAATCTGTGAGCCGTAAGTCCTCAAAGTCGATCTCAAAGTCGATCTCTTCGATGCGCAAGTGGAGTCAGCGGGATGACATTCCCATGGCGGAGTCGTCGGGTTTTTCAAGGGAGCCTGGGGTCAAGCCAAGAGTCGAAACCTAAATACGTTATCTGGGCGTATCTTTATTTCGGGGGCCCCCAAAAATGTTTGGATTCCTTTTGGTTTCCCTTTGAAACCAACCCAAAAAGGATATCCTCAAAAAAAGGGGACTCTATTTGAGGACATGCGGACGGAAACATGTGGTTCAATGAGAAGCAGCCCTTTGCGACCGGGGGCCTCACCTCCCTTCCTCCCTTCTTACCTCAAGGATCATGCGAGGGGCACCCTCTGCAAGGTCTATGGAGGGGGCGGTCGTACCCCCTACCTCAGAAGACCTGGCTGCAGCGAACTCTCCTAGAAAGGGAACCCCTCATCTGAAAGGGAAACCATGGGATTTTCAGAGATCGGGGTCCCCTTTTAGGGGTGAAGGACCACTTTTGGAGGAAACACCCCCGTATAAAAAGGACACGTCTTCGCTCATGAGCGCTTCCTTACTGTGGATGGTCGCGAAATCCGTTCGCACCGAAGAAATAATGGTTAAAACCAGAAGGTTTGTTGGTACTTACAGGGGGAATCATCATTCCAAGGGTTTCTTAGGTGGTGCAGGATTTCGTCTATCCACTGTATTTGGCCCAAAACAAGTTGACATCAGGGGGTTGTTGAATTTTAAGAATCGGAACCACATCTTAAAAGTGGTTGGACATGAATCCCCACCGAGTTTTGATTTTCACCAAAGAGTCCCTACGTATTCATCATCCGTGTCTATCAGGGCCTAGATACAAAATGGGCTTGTGGGGTACTAATCAATGAAGGCAGGATCATGGGACCACTTTCTTTTTGACAAATCCTATGCCAATGTGGTTTCAAAAATCCCATCAATATTTAAATACCCAGATCATGAGATTGAAGAATTGGCTGTTCATTGAAGGGAGCAATGGTCACCAGGTACGCAAGAGGCAAGTGCTGGATGAATTCTGCAGCTATTTGACTGAGTATGCCAAGGAATGCCTGCTGAAGGCAGATGAAGGACAGAAGCAATCCAGATCCCCGGACCAGCTTGAACTGTGAAGCATGCTGTGCGCGAGGTGGAGGGACGACAAGTGTCTGGCTATGGTGGCTTCCTACCAAAGTTCAAAACCAATGGGATCCCATTTTGGGATAGGTGAACCACCCACTTTAATCTATTTTAGATGGGATTGGGATGTTTACTGGGGGTACGGGGTTTTGACCTATAGCCAAACGTCACTTTGGAGCAGATGTTCTCCCTGCGGCGCTGTTCAGAAAGGTGGACTCCGTTCCTGCCGCCAAGGATTTGCCCCCACCCATACTCCCACTTCCCGCTATCCGTGCTTTCCCTTCCAGCAGCATTTGGGGTTTGGCTTGGACCTTGGGGGTTTCCCTCAAACCTGCCCTCAAACTATGAACAAGTAGGTACCACCGGTACTGCTCAAGTGGTGCCGTGGAGACCGCAGCAAGTCCGGCTTTATAAGACAAGGGAAGTCGCGTGTCGTTCTTTTGGAGCGGCGGAGGATTCTTTTTCGGGTCGCAGGCGTTGGTGGTCTCCGACACCGAGCTGCAGTGCCGCAAGCTCAGCTTGATGATTTGAAGTGGCCTGGGAGTTTGTTTTTGCTGGGTGTTTGGGGGTTGAGGGGTTTGAGGATCTGAGGGTTTGGGGGTTTGAGGGTTTGGCAGCTGGTTCTTTGGGGGTTGGAAAGTTTGGGAGGGTTTGGGCTGTGAGCTGGCTTGGGGTGGGGATTGTCGAGGGCTTTTACGCTTCGATGGTTGTTTTGAAGGGTCCATGTTGTTTGGTACCTGCGATTCCCGAACAACATTGACAAATTAGTCCATAGGAACGGGACGTCCACTTTGATATCACAACTATCATGACTAGGGTTCTTTGCCACTGATGGATCTGATGGATTCTGCTCAGTTTTGGGGTCAAGTGCCATGTTTCACCCGCCTGTGTTTTCCCGAATCACAAGGCCACAGGTAATTACTCTTAGGTATCCGAGGGCATGGGAACCAGGAGAAAACAAGAAACACCCTCCGCATCAATCGGGTAGGTAAATAGGGGTAGACTTAGGATACATTTTACATTTTACCAGGGATTCAAAGTGAAGCAACCAATAAAAATACATTCTATAGCTGGGCCCAACTCGAATCATGATGGGGGCGGATTTGGATCGGGACTTCGCTCCAATAGTTTAAATGGCCTGGCTGTGAACAGCTGAAGCTTTGCACTGGATCCCTTTGGAAGGGAGAAAGGGCAGAACCGATTCAATCACGAGGGAGATGAAATGTTCAAACCCACGTGCACCGAACAGGGAACTAACCCCACTGAGTCGGTGGGCTTTAGTGCAATAACAGGTACCGAAATTCACCTAGCGGACAAGGTCATGGACCATTTGTACATAAGGTCGGGTCAAAATGTTCAGTCGTCTATGGTCAATCTGGAAGTGGGAAATAAGGGGTGCAACAAGGCGACTCTAACTTTGTCATGCCCATTAAGGGTACCTGGGCCCTCCACCTACGCAGAAGAAACAAGGGGAAATCACCCCAGAATGAGTAATGTGTTGGGGCAGCAGCCCATTTTTGTGGGGTAGTTTGGGGGTCCAGGTGCCAGCCCATCTTTGGCGCCTCTGGGCGGGCACTGACCAATTTTCCCTCTTTTGGAACCTTTTCGTGGCCCTGTGGAGTGCGCTGGGCGGAGAATCCCAGCACCACCCCACAGGAGCTTTTTGTTTTTTTTTTTACCCGGAGGAGTTAGTTGCATAATATATATATATATATATACAATATATTGGTATGAAGCGGAGCTATGTTTGAACACTGACTCGTCTTCTTTTGCCGGACCTTGTTGGTCATTCAAAGGAAATCCACAAGGAAGCCAAGCGGAACAAGGGGACGTCACCGCGAGGCACGTCGCCGCCAGTGGATGGCGCCTACCGCGCCACGGGGCACTTGTCGTCCTTCAACCTGGAGGCGTTTCGAACTATGGGTTGTGTATTCCACCGTGGGAATTCACCCACTGGGTATTGACCCCATATAGGCACATTTCCAGATAAAACCGTGCTATGTTGAACCATGGGTCATTTCCCAAGGGCGTAGAATCCCAGGGTGCAATACAACAACCCTCAGATTCGAGAAAACTCGTTGCAGGAGGGCTGGCCCTTTGGAGTTGATAACCCAGGCTTTGGCGATTTTAAAGGGAAGCCAAGCCTCCGTTGTTCAGTGGCACCAAGTCTTTTTCCCGTTTTTTTTGGTGGCTGCCCCACTAAAATTCGGTTTTCCGCAAGAAGGGTTCCTTTTTTTCCAGGGTCACTGAACAACTGAGAACCGGACAATGATCTTCCGCGGGTCCAGGGGCTTTGAAACGGTCGAGACTTGTTGTGCCAGTCTCAAGGAGCGAGTGGACTGAGCGCAAAAAACGTTGCAAGACTGAAACGCTGGCAACTGTTTCTTGAAATGGTGCTTTTTGGGAGGCAATGCTAAAGTATAAAATAAAGGCAAAGAACAAGTGTCGCTTCTTTTCTTTCTTTCTTGTTCTTTTGGGGGGTGGCTCAGTCAGAAAGTCTGGCAAGCAATAAAGTGGCTTCCCTTAGCAGCCAGGGCATCACCGTATTCGCAGGGAGAGACAACTGGGCTTCGGAAAGGACTGAAGGGGAAATGACCATGTGTCAACAGCCCGGTTACCCCCCAGTGAACATCCCAATCCATCCGCTAAAATAGGTTCTAAAATGGGTGGTGAATTCACCTACCCCAAAACGGGATCCCACTGGTTTTGACCCACAGCCAAATGAGCAGTCAAACCCTGGGGAGATTGAGGATGGTAAGGGACAGTCCCAGCCAGAAATAGGTGCGGCCACCTTTTTGACTCACAGGGTGTTGAGTAGACCGCGCAGGTACCAGGTTTCTATTCTGATTCAATGTGATTGTCAAGGGTCCCCCAAGTGACCCTAGTTCTTGTGCAATGGTGGCATCAACTTAGTTGGGGCATGTCGTGAAGCCGACATCTTGTTGCGTCACAGATTGAACGCCTTCATTGTTGCCCGAATGTCCAGTGTCACCATGTGACTCGGGCTATTCAGCTATGGGTTTTCATGGGGCATTCTCTCCCAAATGGTTAGTGGACGCAACATACCCATGAACATACAGTAAAGTCCACCACCGGGCGCCCAATTTCCAGCCATACGGGTGTGTCTGCGGTTTTTTCAAGGGAAACCGCAAGGAACGTGCAATTTGTGTGGGGTTTGCCCCCTAAACTTTTATTTGCTTAAGAATATGTTTTATTTTCCCCTGTTGATTTAAAGGGATTCTATGACTACTGGACGTGTTTTTTACTTTTTTCAAGGGGGCTTAAGCAAATGGCAGTAAAACAACGAGAGACGCAGCCAAGCCCCGCCAGACGATCCCAGCGCCGCCGGCGGTGAAGAGTACCACCTCAGCGGCTGCCCCGGAGTTGGTTTCCTTTTGAAGCCACACGAAAGCCTCACTCCCTGAGTTCCGGGTTTCTTGGTGGCTCCCAGCCATCCCATTCCTTAGCCTTTTAGCTTTGTAGTGTTTCGTGGTAGTTTCCATTTAACCCACGAAAAGTGAGTCACTTTTAGCGGGTGATCTGAGGGTCCAGGTTTTAGTTGAAGCAACCCGAAGCCAGACTCCCTGAGGTCCTGGACTTCAAATTGTTTTAGTGTCAATAAGTTCGGTTACGTATGCCGGGCAATCGACCCCGGAAGTGGGAAATAGAGGGCGCCTCAAAACACAAATAAACAACAACACACAGACAGACTTAGATAGATTTAGACATAGGCGCAGACACAGACATACACACAGGCACAGGCACAGGCGCGGGAGGAGCACGCACACATGCACGCACATACACGCGCATTTGCTCTGGGTGGCGGTGTATGTGTGTTTCCCCGGTTCGACTGAAGAGGAGCCGGGACCGGTAAAAGTAGTAACTTTGATGGAGATGGGCGTGCTCACCCACTTGGTTGTGCAGGCCTTCCAAACACGCACGCAGCTTCAGGTATAGAGAAATCAGAGCCTGCCGAGGAATTTAGTGGTGTTTGGCTGGCCCGGGCAATGTGAAGTCGTGATCTCAACCGTCATGTCCTCAAGTCTGGGCGAGGATACGTTTTCAGGAGCATGACTCTTGCACCACTGGGGCCGGAGGAGATGGGGTAAGGCCCTGAAGAATTGGAATGGGGTTGTGGGGCACAGCCAAAGTAATTAAGTCATCATGAGACACACACGCGTTTCATTATTTGGTCCGCTACCCTTCTAAAAGCAAATATGGAGCCCTGTTGGAGGAACATGGACTTCCAGGCGGGTGTGTTTTTTGGGTTTCGCGTATGTTTATGGGAAGATGCCCTCTTTCCAATAAATCACGGTAGTGGACTTCGGGGGGTCCAAGGAAAAACCGTCTGGTTGGTTACGAGGGTCTACAAGGTGTTTTCAGTATCCGACGGGTTGCCTCACTGCCTGGGCTCCTGGACTTTATTTTTTTGTCGGGTTTGCACAAGTTGAGTGGTAAAGTTTGTTCGGACCATGTGAATGGCAAAGAGAAGACCTCCGGCACTCTTTTTTTCCCGCCCATCTCAAGTGCGTTGCCAGGCCTCAAACCAGCGGCCCATGAAGCAGCTCACCTTCTATTACCGCCGCTTCATCCCCAGCATCTCCTGGGCAGAGCCCGACGCGTTTGTGGCCGAGGGTGTCTGTTTTTTTGGGCGACCCAACGGCTTGGATTTGGTGGTTTGGTTCAGGAAACCTGCAATTGGTGGTTTGGATTGGTGGTTTGGGTTTGGATTTGAACCCCTGGTTCTGGTAGAGGGTAAATGAGAAACCAGCACGAAGCATCAAGCAACCAATAGCAACTGGGAAGCTGATCTCGGGTGGATATGGGCCTTTTCCATCCATTGTCAACTTAACGACATTGGCTACACCACGGAGTCCGAACATCTGATGTCGTTGGGGCACACTATGATCGTGACAGTGGCTCCGCTGGGTTCGTTGCTACGCCGGAGGTGTGCGACTTGGGGGCCAGCTATCTTGAGTTGGGGATTTGTGCACAATCCGCTGGTGTCGCAGAACTCACTTGCGAGTGTTACCAAGTAGACCTTCCCCTTACTTTGGAGGGAGGCGTCCCTTTGAATCCATTACCAGGATGGACAATGGACAGCCAGTTGGATAGAGGAAGCCTTACGAAGAGAGGGACAAGAGTGGGGAGTCTGATCGGTTTCAAGAAGCTAGAGGTGACGTGTTTATTTCCCAATGAGCAGAACAACAAGAGAGAGAGAGAGATAGAGAGGGTGTATGTCTGTCTGTGTATGTGTACGTGTGTGTCTGTTTTGGGGTACCCTTTTTTAACTTTGGTAGCAGACAAGGAGCTCCACCGCTTTTGTCCCTTTTGACGCAGAGCTTCCTTTACATATCCCAAAATGATGGGAGGGTCCTCACATGATTTGCGAGCTCAGCTAAGGATATGGTCACGGTCGGTTCCAGGTTGTGAGGGGCCTCAAGTGGGCCTCTGCTTTTCAGTGTTGCCTTCAAACAGAAGCCTAGGTGGTAGCTCCAACAGCCCCATGGAACCGAATCTCCGGAACCGTCCCAAGCCACAAACCACCCACCTTGTCGCAAGTTTTGGGCCTTTCGACCCCTAGCTGAATCAGCTGGGGAAGGTGCGGCTCTCAGGTTTTCTTTGGTTTCCCTTTGAAGGCCAAAAGGGGATGGAACCAACTACTTGGTTGTGCAACGTCGCCTCTGTTTGGCTTATGTATAAACCCGCAGGCAGGAGGTTTATAGCATCTGGGTGTGTCTCTTCTTTAGGAGAGCCCCCCCAAAATGCTTGCTTCAAAAACCAGCTGTTTCCCCAAAGTGTTGTGTGGTTTTGTCGAAAGAAGGATGCCTGGAAAGAGACGGGGGAGGAAGGCAGCCCTTTCCTTGTGGTTTTCCTTCAAAGCCAAAAAGGCGACTCACCCCCCGTGCACCAGCCATAGGCAGCCTCGCGCTTCGCCCGCCAGGTGGAGCCCTTGAGCGGCCCCGAGTTCGGCAACACGCTGGTGTCTCTGCGCTCGGCGTCTCGCCAGCCAAACCGAGGCCGAGCGGAGCCGCCGAGAAAGAAAAGAAGAAAAAAAAACGCCGGGGGCAAGGTGGAACGCACGTCGCGCTTTTTTTTGCCGGACATCGGGAAACCACCAAACACCATGGCTGCGGGTGCTCTAGTCAAGCAAAAGATGTCTGAGTCCGATGGAGCATGTTGAAGGAAGATGTGTGACGTCTTCGGAGCACATCTGGGAACAGCTGACAAAACCATCGGCCCCACTTTGATGCTTGGGCCACTACCTTTTTGAGCAGGTGCTGAACACACGGGTTGGACAAATCCTCTTCTCAAGGCTTCCCTTGAAGGGGTGAGCCAGATTTTGGGTTTCGCGCCCAGCTCACTTTCCCAAAACATGGCCTTTTGACGGTTTCTTTGTTTGCTCCTTTTTTTGTCATGGCCCCAAAAGGTGAACCTTTTATTTTTGTGTCCGAACTGGGAAACCGAGCCAAGGACGCACCGCTCTTGAACTCCAAGAACATCAAGTGCGTTTTTGGGAACATCCAGGTCGCGCTCTTCATGGTAACGCAGAACGAGGCGCTCGTGAGCGCGCTTCTTTTTAGCTTAAATGAGCTCGTCTCTTTTAGAGTTGATATAGTTAGGATAGGCCACACGCAACTTGTTTTTAACCCAAAAGTCTAGGGTCCACCCTAGTTGTTTTTTCCATTTTTTGAACAAGCGCCCCAAAACAGCCATTTTACAACATATGTTGCAACAGTCTAAACATATTTTGAGAAACATTTTTTTATTACAGCATATGAAACCGAAAAATAAAATATGTGTTTTGAACAATTCAATGCATCTAAACATTGTTATTTTCGAAAACACATAGTTTCCAAAATATTTTGGAATATATATTTTGTCAAAAGAGAAATATAAATATATAGCATTTTAAGAAGAATTCTTCAATAAGAAACAACATGTTCAACTATTCAATGAGAATACTCAATAATTAATCATTTTTCAACATTTGAATATTCCGAAGTTGTGCGTGGTGCTCCTTGTATGATTTTATCTTCAATATATAAAACGCTATACTTAAATTATAATTATAACATATAAGGGTATAAATGTTGTAATCATAGTATGAGTTCGACTTTATTCTAATTTGTTTTATTCTAATTTGTTATAAAATTATTCAATTGGTCTTGTTGCTCCAGCTTGTGATGCAACAAGAGGAGCCGACACACCAAAAACGAATGGCACACACACACCAAAAACGGATGGCACACCCTCCAAAATAGGATAGGCACCCTCCAAAATGAGCATCCCTATCCTCCAAAATGAGCATCCCTACCCTTTAAAATGAGCATCCCTATCCTCCAATGCTCCAAACCGCATAGGCATATGCTCCAAACCGCATAGGGATATGCTCCAAACCGCATAGGCATATGCTCCAAACCGCATAGGCATATGCTCCAAACCGCATCGACATATGCTCCAAACAGCATAGGACATATTGCGCCGATGCCAAGACCTAATTCAATCTCACCAAGACTTCACAAATTAATTCGCTAGGTATTTTGTATAAATCTTCCTGTCTATGTATTATTGAATTGTCTCCCCATTTTTCCTTGGTGCCCGATGGAAGCCGTTGTGCTGTTTCAATATGTTTGTTATTCCTGATGTTGCCACAATCCTTATTGCATAATGGTTTCGGTGTCCAAGTTGTAATGTTATTCCAAAGCCTAGTTCTCTTTCTGTAAGGCATTCCATATTTACAGTAATCTACATCTTTAAAATCAAACTCATCCATAAACTCCTGATTTGTTTAATATTCCAGTTTGAGGATTTTCGATTACAACATATTTAGGATTAAACTAGTTGATGATCTCAATAGTATATATGTCAGAAGTTGAACCTGACATTACTAATACAATTGAAGCAGACGAGCGAGTAAATGGATTACCACCAATTGAACTTGGCTGCATTCTGCCTGGCTGTTAGGACTTTAACTTTTAGCTGCCTAAGGGGGCCTAGGAGCATGGAATGTGCCTTCATTGAAGGTGAGGCAATTAGAAGGCGTTAAAATGTTTCCCCACTTTGTCAAGTATTAAGTGCAACCTTTTGCCTGCGTCTCGTTTGCGTTGTTCAGAAGAAGAAGCACCCACGGCAGAACCAATAATAGAAGCAACACAAGAAATAAAACCGGTTGAACCTCTGAAAAACAACTCAAAGACTCAAGCACGCAATGAAAATAACATCACCTGTCCGAAATGTGCCAAAACTTTAACACTAAAATCATACAGATACAGCCACGAAAAAAACTGCCAAGGGCCACTAGAATCTAAACCAATCAAATCAATCAAACCAAAAGCAGTTCCAATAGCAAAACCCCAGAAGGTAGAATATCACGAAGAAGGGCAACACGTTCCACCACAACAACAGCAACAAAATAATATAATAGCGAACAGACCGCCCCGAAGAAGAATGCAACCCCAACCGCCTCCAAACCCGCTACAAAATATAGCACAGCATTACCAATTATTGCAAAATGAATTTATGAGACAGAAGCAAGACAAATGCAATGCATTAAATAAAGGTATATTTGGATCAAGAGGAAAGAGAAGATAGAATATAATTATTTTATAACCTACTATATAATCATTATGTTTTCAACATTATCACTGGACGGCTCAAGCAGAATTGTAGCAAGTGAATTAGCATTGATAAATTCAAGAGAACCATCGACCTTAAGCAGTGTTCATGCTACAAAACAAGAATTAGCAGATACAGCAGGTTCATTAGGCGGAGGTTATACACTTGAAGAAGTTGATGCTCTTATTTTAGCACAGAAAATTGAGATAGATGCAAACATATCGGCAATATCAGGAATTAACACAACATCAACAACAATGTTTAACGAACAAGTGAATCAAAACACAACACTTACAAGCAACCTTAATATTATAACAGCACACGGATTAACCATAACTTCAATACTACTGACTATATCAGCAAATACAATTAAACTTGACACAAATGCTAATAATATTAGTTCTATTGCTTTTTAATTAGTGGTTTTAACAGCAGTGTGAGTTCCAATTCTTCCTTGATCACAGGACATAATAATACAATAGCATCACATTTAGCAGTATTAACAACACACGCCAGCAACATAGCAACAAACACAAATGGAATAGCAATATTAAATAATACAGTAGGTAGTAATATCACTTTTGTTAATAGTCATCAAAACACAATAACATCGCATATATCATTAATTGACACACACGTTAATAATATAACAGGGCAGGGAAACACAATATCATCAATCTTGACAGATATAGCAAATTTACAAGCAGGAGCGGGTGCTTCTTGGACTACAACTGAAAAACAACTATTCAAGCAGATGTATCAACATGTCATACAAACGAGCCTAATTTATGCAATACTAACACAGCATACAGTAATACATTTGGATCAATCATATCAGACAACGCTACACAAGATCTATTAATAACTCAAAATTCAAATACTATCAATAGTCTAATATCAATGGATCTACAAAAGTTAGATAAACTAGATACTAACCTACAGTCGGCAGCAGGTGCTGTTAATTTTAGTAGTGCTTCAACTTTTCAAGATACTATTACAATGGTTACTGGCAACACTTTATTTTGTAATACATATAGGGCGCCGAGTATTGGATTGCATATTCAATTCGTAGTGTTTAACAGAGAATTTAATATGAATAGAGATGGCAGAATGTGGATGAGTAGTTCAGGAGGTCAATGGGCGACTCAAATAGGAGACGCTAATGTTGGCCGTGTGTGGGTTAAGGATAGGTTTGGTTTAGGTGCTGCTTGCGTTTCTGGTTATGTTTTAAACGGTGCCGGACAAGCGATATTTACTGACGCCGTTCAGTTTTTAGGATCTGACAAAGCTGTAAGTGTTAATAATGGTTCATTTTAAAATTTGAATAATAATGGATCAATACGAAGATATACACCAGATGCTATGGAAGGTTTATATATGGCACATGATAACTTTGTTGCTGTTAGTGTTGGTGATGTTAGTAATCTTTCTTCATCAATATTTTTAAAATTTAAGTGCGACGGTGCTGTATCCAAAACCATTTTCAATAAACCAGTTGATGTATTAGGTGATGTATATACAAATGGCGATTTAACAATGGCTTCTGGTAAAAAGGTTGAAGTCAATCAGGTTCAGTCAGTATCAGGAAATACTTTATTATTACAAAATTCACCGAGTGGCAATGTTCAATTTGGCGACTCATCAAAGCTAATAGTTAACAATGCTGAAATGTATCTCGATACTAATGATCTAATAATTAGGAATAGCAACACTTCAAATTCTATTAATTTGGTTGTCGGATTATCTACAACATATGCTGATAATAAAATTATTTTGAATAGTTGAAGTAATAGCGAATTACGAGGCGACTGGGCTATTGACGGTGGTATGACTTTTGGAATTGCACATAAAATCAATTTGAGACATTTAAATAGCGATGCTGTATTATGACTGGAAGCATCGACAACTATTGATAGTTATATTAATGGCACTAAATATTTTCAATTGGATGATACTCAATTTTCATCATTTAGCGGATTTAATTTAAGCAGTGATAAGAGACTGAACAATTATATAAACAATAGAACAAATAAGATTATACATATGGTAAAAACACATTAAGATTAAAACATTTGTTAAGAATCAAAAAACCAGCCAAACTGAATTAGGATGGATTGCTCAAGATGTTCAACAATACACAAACCCTAGATATAATATTGTAAATGATTCAGGAGAATACTTAACAATGTGTTATGATCGTATGGCTTGTATTAGTTGGGATGCTTTATCAAAACTAATCCATCGTGTAGAATATTTGGAACTTGAAGTCTTAAAAGTCAAAAAAATACAGATATTTAGTTTAATAATCTTGTAAAATGTATGTAAAGAAATATGATATAATCTAATATATAGTATACCTGAAGATATGGCACAAGAACAAATAAAGGAACAACTGGCACTATATAACAGATTATATTACCAAAAAAGAAGACACGAAACAGAGTTTATGGAAAGTCAAAGGGCAAGTGCTATCAGGTACAATAGGAGAAAGAAATTCGACAATATCGCAGAACACGGAGATATCAATTTAAAAGATATTGGTTATGAAAATAAAACAGAAGATCTACAGAGTACAAAACCCAAAAAATATAAGGAAATGACATATAAAATAATAAGTGTTGAATAAATACAATATTAAAATATCACTTTTTTAAAAATGGAAAATATTCATAAAAATGATAGAATTAGTAAAATGTATTATGATAAGTCAGGATTTGGAAGGAAAGCAACCACTCTAAGGGACAGCAAAAAGAAAGACCAACGTATAACAATGAAGGACGTAGAGGAGTTTTTCAGGAAAAAATGTAGAACAAAAAGCAACTACGAGGCAGGAATTCATTTATCGCTCCACATCCTTATTTTGAAGTTCAATTAGTTTTTTTGTTTTTTGTTTACTAAATCATCACCTAATCAAAAAAATAAAGTAGGAATGGTCTTAA